TGTGGACAATTGCGAGTGTCATGTATAACAATGCTGCTCGCTGTTGCTGGATCCATTCGGCTTGAAATTGGCGCGCGGCCCATTGCCATAGCATCTGGTTGGCGTGTGCTCCTCCAGATAATATAATGCATGTTCGAGGCCCCCTCTAGCATTCTCATCTTTCGGGGGTGTTACGCATTATGAACTTCTACTTGACTTTTTAACCACCGAACCAAACCAACAAGAAGAAGCGAGAGATATCGATGAACAGTGTGGATACCATTATAAAAAAAAACAAGCAAGCACACGTCGAATCTTTTAATTGCATTTCACTATAAACATCGAATTAAAAACGATTTCCATATGCGCCATATGGTCTAAGTTGATTTAAAAATATCCTTTATGGAATCTATCAAACTTTTTTTTTATTACTGAAAGTGAAACCAAAACCCTCTTCCTTTTTTTCTTCTAAATAATTAATTGGATCAAGTTTACGTTACAAATAAGCAGTCAACTTACATACCAAATTATACAAGTTGATTGTTATTGCTTTTTTTTCTGATTCATTTAATAATTACATTTAACACTGTCAATATCATACATTTTCAATGTCATCAAGAATCTAAACTTTTGATTATTAACATTTTTTCAGTAGGTACTTTATAATTGCGTCTTCTTTGACTGTATTGTTAACAAGGTTTTCTATATCTTTCACTGAAAAACCATTATCTTCTGCTTTCAATAAATTTCTAACATAATCTTCAATTTAAGCATTTATCGGTGATTTCTTTCTATCAATCTTTTCAATTGCGTTCCCAAGTTCTAGTTCCATTAAATTGCATAATGTTCGATTCAGATTATAAGCTTATGATTATGATCCAACAGTAGTGTTATCTGAAAGAAATAAAACTTTGACTTTTTTTTCATCGAAGTAACTTTTAGTTCAGAAGAAAAGTATTTAATGTTAAAGAAAGCTTATAATTGAGTTATCTCAAGACTTCATTATCAATTACTTCTGATAACGTTGACTGAGTAATTACTGTAATATTAAAATGCAAGGCACAATTTGATTTCAAATATCATTTATAAAAACTAACAAAACTGAAATCGAAAACATATTTTCTTTAAAAAAAAATGGATTAATCACATTTATGTTATAATTATTTCTGTAAATCTTTACAGATTTATAATATTATGTTAATATTACTATAATAGATGAAATATCTACTTGTTAAATGATTTTGTATGAAGCTAACATATTGATTGATTAATTGTCATTATAGACGGTTGGAAAGACCTATCAAAGGATATTTTTGTACCAATTTATTACGATTTTATAAATATGTTATCATTTTTCATTGATTTATATGAACGTAAAGTATTGCGGTCAGTATTGGTTTGGCAAGAAAGTATTTTCAGTTTTTTAGTAAATTATATTTTTTTCCATTTTGTCCAAAGACGTTTTGCTCAGAATGATGGTAACTTCATGATTCCCCGCTCATAGATCTTCTAGCCCTTATCAGGAAAAAAACTGAACCAAGTGCGATCATCATAATTACTAAAAGTTTTGTCATTCAAAGAGTTTTGAAAACTTCGAAATAAATGGTAATCTAATGAAGCAAGGTCAGGGCTCCAATAATTTTCCATCCAAATTATGTTAAGATTTCTGTGGAACAAGATTCTGGTCATTTTTCTCTGCATAAATTACTTATAAAACATTTTGATTCGATGACTTTATGTCTATTTCCTTTGTAATTTCCGTGTCCATTAAAATCGAGATCGCGATAAAAAATATAAAAGAACGTAAAATAATAATAATTTGATATTGCACATTAATTAGGACTTTCGCTGCCTAATGACGAGGACCAGAGTCACTGAGTAATTTCTGCACGTATAGTTAAGAGGAGAGACTTGAAAATAAGAAGAGCATAAAAATTACGATAAACGGCAACCGTAATTCTGATAATTATATTTATTACCGCAAGAGCCGCATATGTACGTTTCTGAACGCAATTGAATAAATTCGCATATGTTCGAGTCCAGGTGAAAATGCACACTTGCTAGTTGATATGATTTTTTTTATGGTGGGTGCGCTAGGTCATAGCTGTTTCCTACAAATACACCCGAATAGCTCGAGTCGAATAATGAGATGATGATATTTGTAAAAAATAAATAAATAAATATATGCATTTGTACAAAAAAAAAAGTTTCATCTTTCTCACGGTATCTTATGTGTATCGATACTTGCAGCTCATCGTACCTAATAATATATCATAGCAGTATTATTCCGTTAAACACATGCATTAAGTAGATGGAAAAAAAGAAGAATGTTTTATGTTGCGTGCCATTTTTATTGGTTCCTCTTCACACGTGAATTCAATGAAAAGAAGGATTCACGGGTTTGTTTTCTGATATAAGACCTCAGCTTTCACCTCACGTTCTTTTCCCCCCTTGAAGAAGTGTATTTATTTACAGAATACGTGTGGCAAATTGTCGGCGTTCGCAATGTTATTATTATGTTTAAGATTTGTGTGCATAAAGGAGTGAATAGTCCGTAGAGCCGAAAGGCATGGACCAGAAAGGAAAAAGGAGTACTACTTTTCTCGAAACTGTCCGACGACCCCCTGGCAAAGAAACGTGTGTGTGAGAGAGATAGAGAGAGAGAGAAAAGTGAATGATAAAATGTTGAAATCGAGCGATTTCAACTCAACTCGTGGCGACGGTTATGAAGAAATTGCGACAACAAAAGAAGAAGTAAAAATAAACGGCGCACCGTATTTTTCTTAATTTCGTAATCGTTCCCATTTAATGTCATTTCTAATTACTCTTCGACTGCAGACAGAACTGGTTTTGCACGTTCATTATATTTTGAGCTACAACCTTTTAAGAATAATTTGCATACATCAAATTATGCTCTTAGCACTTCTAAACCTCAAAAGTGAAGTACGTTGGGTTATTAATGTGTAGTAAAAGAATTTTGCTTCTGTGGATAAATATCAAATTAGCTCATCCTCCTGAAGCAATCAAAATGGTCATCACATTTTAACACGAACACTCTCGATGTTACTTTTAATTTCATATAAAGTTGTCAATACTTTGTTTTCATGATGTACTAGATCTTGCCAGTTTTCTAATTTGAATACTTCTAGTATATGTAATCATGTTCCATACCGTTATTTTAAATTTAATTATATTTTTAATATATTAATATCTTAAGTTAAAACCAATGTCAAATATTTGTAAGTAAATTTTCATTTCTTACTTAAATTTAAATAGTTTGAAATGTATTCGTTGCGTATATTTAGTTGCCTATATACATTTATTTCGGTGGCAATCGCAAGCCCGACAACCGAAATACCGTCAATCAAATTTCCGACGTTCGAAATCCCGACATTTGAAATCCCGACTTCATCAAAGTCCCGGCGTTCGAAATCCCGACTGTATCGAAATCCCGACAACCATAATCCCGACTATATCAAAATCCCGACTATATTAAAATCCCGACAACCACAATCCCGACTATATCGATAATGTCTTCAATAACATATGCTCCGAAATAATTTAAAAATGTTATTATACAAATTTTCGATATTGTCGGGATATTGACACTATCGAGATTTTGATATAGTTGGGATTATAGTTGTCAAGACTTTGATACAGTCGGGATTGTCGGGATTTTGATGGACGGTATTTCGGTTGTCTGGTTTGCGATATAGACCCATATATATTAAATCAATGAACTTTATTAAGTATGAATAATAATTTTACTCCATGAACTAACAAATATTATTGTTGATCAAAATTGACGTAAATATGCAGGTAGATAGCTTATTAACATAATATTATTAATTAAAATAATATTAAACAATAATTGATATATAGTAGTAAATGAAAATGTATAAGAAAGGATCAGTGGCAATCGCAAGCCCGACAACCGAAATCCCGGCTGGCTGGCTCAAAATCCCGACGAAATCCCGACAGTGTCTTTAATTATTATAAATTTTTATGGTAGTCGGGATTTCGATATAGTCGGGATTTTGACATAGTCGGGATTTCAAGCATCGGGATTTTAATAAAGCCGGGATTTCGATACACTTGGGATTTCGAATGTCGGGATTTCAATAGACGGTCTTTCGGTTGTCGAGCTTGCGATATAGACCCGAAAGAATACAGTACAGTATTTCATTTTATGCAACCAACTTACAACGTCGTACTTTTTACTAAAGTACAATATATATATGATGATTACAAGTGTATTGGGTTTTGAGCCATAAAATCATTAATTTAAATTGTACTATTATATAAGCTACGATTGTAGATTTTTAATTTAAACTAAAAATTGTTTCTACTTGCTTTTTTAAAATATGATTTAAATGAATGTTACGAATTAAATTTATATTATTTATTTAAAATATAATATGAGTAGGACAGAACTGTTGCTTGTGATAATAATCAAAGTTATAATAGATTACTTTTAATAACTGACTAGATAACAGTTATATAATTTTGTGAGAAATTCGTTATGTTTCGTTTGTATTTGAAGTTAAATTAACAGTTGCTGTAAATTTATTTTTGAAACAATAAACAAAACTGTTACATATTTATTAACAATTAATTATTTTAGCACCATAGATTTAGTATTATTAAAAATAATGTAAAAAAAAAACTATTAATTATTTCTATTATAGTGAAGTACCTATTTCTAATTTGATCAATGCAAAATTGTAAAGTGGTACATGGTTGTTCTATTACTTATAACTAATATAGTACAAAACAATTATACATATTTCTTAGCAACAAAGCTTACAAGCATAGTTATATTATAAAAAAAAGAGGATAGAAAGCTTTTACTTTACAACATCAAGTATTTAGTAGCTCTGTAGTTTTTTTTTTTCTTCATCTTCTAGTTTGAATATATCACATTAAGCTATTAAATACTCTATACAATTCAAGAGGAACACATTTTTATTTGAACACAGCTAGGTGTTTTTTTTTAATATTTTCTTCTTTAGACACTTTAATAGAAAATGAAAATTTATTACAATATTATTTACATTACACACGTTACTGTAATATTCGTATAATTTAGGTAGATTTATAATTGTTATTACGTGTTTTTGATGCATACTTTGCATCTGCTTACTCTGTTCCTAACATTACCAGCTTTTAAAGTTTCTTTCGATGGGGCCTTGAATTGTTCATTTTCTTCAATAGTAGCCAACCAAAAACTAAGTTTATTGGCAAAGTAATGACAAGTTCCTCTGGCACCGTTGCATTCGATGAATGGAGATGCACGGAAGTCTTCCAAGCAAGAACCAGGACTCGATAGAGATTGTCCACCACCCTCACCACCAGCAGCAGTATGCTATATAAATAAAGAAACGTATGTATAGCATTTGTATATCTGTAAATATTGCATTTGTAATTACCATAATAAAACTGTAACCGATCCAAAGTGAGCTCCATCCTTGTGGACAGTTTGGATACGATAAGGATTGACTGTGAACTGCAATCGTATTAGCTGGTGCTTCGCAGACGGCACAGCGCGAAATGTAATTTTGAATGTCCTGTTCTTCGACTGGCATCATTGGAATTGAAGCAAGTGTGGATAGCCAATATGTTCTGTCATTCCTACTAGCGTAATGACACACATTGTTAAAATCGCAGGATAAGAATGGCATTGTTGAGAATTTACGGACGCATGATCCTGCATAACCCAAGTCTTGACTGTGCGCTTTTTCATTGCCTTCGATGTATAGGAGTGAGTAACCTTCCCACAATAATGTGTGACCTGCTTCGCAACGGGGAACCGATGAACTTTGTGAATGTCTTACTATCAGTGTTCCTGTTAAGTAGTCTGGTGTATGTTCACAAGGAAGACCTGGGGGACCTGTGGTACCAGGAAAACCAGGTGCTCCTTGTAATCCAACATGACCATCTAAGCCTTTGTCGCCTTTTTGTCCGGGTAAACCTGGACTTCCATTCCTACCGTCTCTACCAGTGAACCCTCTATCGCCCATTAATCCTTGCGGGCCAGGATTACCATCTTTACCAGATGGACCAGGAGGACCACTTAATCCTCTTTCACCTGGTTCACCTTTTTCTCCCTGCTGGCCTGGAATTCCAGGCAATGCTGCTTCACCTTTACTTCCTTTCTCGCCAATTAATCCTTGAATACCAATTAAACCAGGCGGACCTTGATATCCTTTATCTCCTGGAGGACCCATTAGACCCGCAGGTCCAATTGGACCAGGTTGACCTCTTTCTCCCTTTATTCCTTCAATACCATCTCGACCAACGTTTCCACGTTCACCTTTATCTCCCTTCTGTCCTTGAGCCCCGTTTAGTCCTGGATAACCTCTTTCACCTTTGTCTCCTCTTCCTCCTTCAATTCCCATTATACCAGGTTGACCAACAGGACCTCTGTCACCTTTAAAGCCTATTGGACCAGTAATACCTGGTTCTCCTCTTTCACCCGGAATACCATATCCAGGAATTCCAGGTCTTCCACTTAGACCAGGCAAACCAATTAAGCCTTTGTCGCCCTTTTCTCCTTGTCTACCAGGCATACCTTGCCTTCCGTCCTTTCCAGGAAGTCCTGGTAAACCTTTTTCACCCTTTACAGAAAGACCAGGAACACCAACTGAACCTGGTAAACCCCGATCACCTGTAATACATATAAAAAATTAAAAATATAAAATGAAAAAGTTATATAATGTTATATTACCTTTATCTCCAGGTACTCCAGGCATTCCTATCATACCTTTCACGCCCGTGTAACCTATTTCGCCCTTTTCTCCTGTATCTCCTCTTAGACCAATAAATCCGGGTTCTCCTTTTTGGCCATTTCTTCCCATATACCCAGGATTTCCAAGTTCTCCTTTCTGACCCTTTTGAGAGAAAATTGGTCCTGGTGGCCCACGTTCACCCAACAAGCCCTTTGCACCGGGTACACCCACAGGACCCATAGGTCCAACGGGACCCCTTTCGCCTTTTAATCCATCAAAACCATCCCGACCGGGAGATCCTTTATCACCCTTAATACCATCATCGCCTCTCAATCCAGGGAAACCAGTAACTCCCTTAATACCAGGCATACCATCCCTTCCGTCCATGCCAGGCATTCCTTGCATTCCAGGCAATCCACGTTGACCCATTTGTCCGGGGAAACCTTGCAGTCCAATTTCACCCTTTTGACCATCCCTTCCTGGGATTCCTTCAAATCCAACTGGACCGATATCACCCTTTTGACCTATTGGACCCGGGACACCAATTCCGGGACTTCCTTGTTCTCCTTTAATTCCAGGTATACCATTGGTTCCTGGTTTACCATCTGGTCCACGAACACCTCGCAATCCAGGAGATCCCTTGTCGCCTTTCTGCGATGCAGCACCTGGTTCTCCCTTTTGTCCTTCATCACCATTGAAACCACGTTCACCTTTATCTCCGGGATTTCCATCAAATCCAGGAACTCCTGGTTCGCCCTGTATTCCTATGTTTCCTTTTGGACCAGCAGGACCAGGTTCGCCAACAAAACCTCGTGGACCAGGTCCCCCTTGCGGTCCTGGGAATCCTCTTTCACCTTTGTCTCCATTCTGACCTGGTCTGCCATCCATTCCAGGTGGACCAGGTGTACCATGATCACCTCTAGGTCCCGGGAATCCTTTAGATCCTTGCATCCCTGTAATTCCTTGATCTCCTTTTGTACCCGGCATACCTTGTATGCCCGGACGACCTGGTTCACCCCTAAATCCTACTTCACCTTTTGGTCCATCTAATCCATCTTGACCTGGTACTCCTCGTTCGCCTTTGTTTCCAATCGGCCCACTGTCACCCTTTTGACCTGGTAATCCTGTATTGCCAGGAAAACCGTCCATACCAATTTCTCCTTGTTCTCCCTTTGGACCATCTACACCAGGTAATCCGTTTGCTCCTCTCTTGCCAGGAGGTCCTAATAGACCTTTTTCTCCTTGGAATCCTTGAGGTCCAGGAGGACCCGGTGGCCCAACTGTTGGAATACCAGGTTCTCCTTTGTCACCTTTAGCAGACGGTCTGCCGGGGAAACCACGCATGCCATCTTTTCCATCTTCACCAGGGAAACCCATAGTACCACGTTCACCTTTATCGCCTCTTGGTCCTGGAAGACCTCTAGGTCCAACTGGTCCCGGTTGACCTGGTGCACCATGTAATCCTCTATCTCCAGTTAATCCGTGGTCTCCTTTTTCACCGTTTAAACCGTTTAGTCCAGGTGGTCCAGGTTCACCTTTTAAACCTGGTGGACCTCTATCACCTTTGTAGGAATCGGTAAGCTTCGGACATTTGCCTGATTCACCTTTTCTACCGAAAGGACCTGATTCGCCCTTATCTCCTTTAAACCCATGTAGTCCTGGGATACCAGCTTCGCCTTTTACACTTTCTCCTTTTTCACCTTTCTGTCCCATTAAACCCGGATTTCCATCCCTGCCGTCGTTACCCGCATAACCTGGATAACCTTTGTCACCTTTTGGACCTGGGAATCCAGGCACTCCTGAAGCGCCGATTGGACCTGCAGGTCCTATTTCTCCCTTAGGTCCAATTCTTCCAGAAATACCCTTTTCTCCTTTAATTGCTTCTATTTGATTCTCTGGTATAACACAAGCTGATCCTTGTTGACCTTCAGGTCCTGGCGGACCAGGTATTCCATCAACTCCCTAACGCAAAAATAAAAATAAATTTACGAATTACTAAATTTTCTTCATTTCTTACCGGACTACCCCGAGGACCACTTGGTCCAGGCATTCCATCAGCTCCTTGTTCACCGCGCTCTCCAATAATGCCCGTGGGACCTCGCAGTCCATGTACGCCAGGTAAACCATCAATTCCTCTTTCACCTTTATTACCTTTCATACCAGGTAAACAATCTATGCATCTACCGCCAATATCACCCTTTTCACCAGGTACTCCAGGAGCTCCTGGAGTGCCAGGTCTACCAGAGTTGCCTTTGTCACCTGGAAATCCTTGTGGACCTGGTTTACCGGGGATACCTTCTAAACTATCACCGGGCATTCCTCTTAAACCTGGATATCCTCGTTCTCCTTTCAGACCCTTGTCACCTTCTCTTCCGGGTAAACCGTCATTTCCTCTCACACCCTAATATATTATAAATGTAATTATTGTTTCACTTTGTGTTTTATAGAATTTACCATAATCGATAATCCTTTATCTCCCTTTTCTCCTCTATCTCCTTGAACACCCGGTGCACCATTATAACCTATAGCACCTTTAATACCAGGTAAACCCATATTTCCAGGGTCTCCCTTAATTCCCTTATCTCCCGGAGCTCCTTCTTGACCTGAAATTCCAGGAATTCCTAGTCCTCCTGGTTGACCCACAGGTCCTCTAGCTCCAGGTGTTCCATTAAAACCGTCCATACCCTTAGGTCCCATAGGACCAGGATAACCACGAGGACCCTTAGGACCTGGAGCCCCTGGGCGACCCATACCACCTCCAGGTGGTCCAGGCGGTCCTCTTAGACCAAATGGTCCTGTTGGTCCATCTAATCCAGGTTCACCTTTTTGACCATCCCTTCCAGACAAACCAGGTAAACCATCATATCCTCTATCACCTTTTTGACCAATCGGTCCTGATGGACCAGCTAGACCATCTCGACCCTAAATTAAATTTATTATTTAATTAATAATAATAATTAGAGTGTAACTTACTCTAGGTCCTGGTGCTCCTGGTAAACCTTTCTCTCCCTTCATTCCATCCACACCAATTTCTCCCTTGATACCTTCATATCCGCGATCTCCCTTTTCGCCCTGCATACCATCAAAACCTTGATCACCTGGTTCACCCTGACTTCCTTTTGGACCAATCGCATGACCTTTGTGAACTAAAGGTGCAAGATTATCTCCTTTAGGGCCTTGTCGTCCTTTGTCGCCTTTGTCGCCTTTCTTTCCTTCAAACGAAATGCCAGGAAATCCTTTTTCACCTTTAGTACCCATTGGTCCTGGCAATCCCTGAAAATATTTATGTAAAAAAACAATTTATTACTTATGATAAATACTTACAGGTTGTCCTTCTTCTCCCTTAGGTCCATGTGGTCCAATTGGACCGATTGGACCTGGTGGCCCCCTAATACCATCTACTCCATGCAGACCTGGTTCTCCTTTCTGACCTTTCAAATTGATTTCGCAATGTGCAGATTCTCCTTTGTCTCCCTTATTACCAGGAGACCCACGAAAACCTCTGGGACCAGGTTGTCCATCTTGACCAGGGAATCCAGGTGAACCCTATACAAATGTAGTATATAGAAACTAATTATATAGCAATTGCCATGCTAATTTACGTCAGTTCCATTGCAACCATCCAATCCATGCATTCCCTGTGGACCCGAAGGACCTTGCATACCCGGAATACCATTAATTCCAGGGAAACCGGGCACTCCAATTCTTCCGCGTTCTCCCTTTGGACCACGCGGACCAAATAATCCTGAGTCTCCTTTATCTCCTTTCGGTCCCATTATACCTTCTGGACCAGGGAAACCCCGTAAACCTTTCTCTCCTGGGATACCTTGCAATCCCGGAAAACCCTAATTGACATACGTTATTTAAATTCCCCGTGCTTTAGCATAATTAAAATGTATTATATTCTACCCTTGCTCCTTTTTCCGCAAAACACTTGGGTATGCATCGTTCACTTCCATTTTTCGGACCTAAAGAACTACTCGGTGCGGCAAAAATATCATAACTGCTACCCGAAGGTCTTTGCGACGCATAAGGACTTCCAGCGTATGATGATCCTGATCCAGAAAACTCTCTACTCTCACCAATTTGCGAATTCGAAGAATAAAATCGTGGTCTATTTTCCGAATCACCCCAAAACTATAAAGATATACAAATAAATTAAATAGACATAAAAGTATGTCATTAAAATATAAAAATATGACATGAGATACAAAGGTTATTATTGCATAAGTTTTATTTTTTTTTTATCTAAAATGGGACATCCTGTAAATGATAAATAAAGATTATCGTCATATTGGGCAAAAAAAAATAAACACATCTAAATGCGATAATTCGTTTATAAAAAATTATTATGCAATTGCTATAATTTAATATCCACTTGGATTTCCACTTGGCAAAATGTTTAATATTTTGAATGAAAATATGATGGTAAATAAACATATAAAATAATATTATTTATATATTATAACAATCTTTAATCTAATAATTTAGATTTGCAAAAAACATTTGTCTTATTTAACGATAATTCTCGTATAGCTTAAATACAAAAAATATGCGAAAATTGGATGAGAGATGGACATAGAAAAACTATTAGAAATAATTAAAATATTGTAAATTGATTAATTTCAATAATAAAAAATTATGCTAAGAATATAAAAAATGAATAAAGTTGATGTAGTTCTAAATGAATTACTTACCCCTGCAGCGCATGCAGATATCGTTAGGATGGACGCCACGAAGCTGAAATTCATAATTGCAATTTATAATAATTAAATTATTTTTAAATCATCAAAATGAAAAAAAATAATATTTCATTTAATAAAGTATCTAACAAAGTATGATTTCTATATATAATGAAAAGAATTCCAATTTGAATTCTTTTTGTCAGATATACATGTATATATTTAGAGTTTAAAATTATTTATAATACTTGAAATAAATAAATAAATAATGGGAATAAAATATTAATGATTAATCATTAAATTCCGCAAGTGTGCAAGTAATTATCTTATAAAATCTGTAGAAAAAAAAATTGTGGCCAAATAAATTGAATAAAAAAAATCTATTGGCATGTGTGTAAATCATCTTCAATATAAAAACACAAATAATAATGTACAATAGATGATGATAGTAATATATTGAAATATATTTTTTTAGTATTAAAGAGCTTTTTTTTGACGGACACTTACCGTAGTCCGTGGACGTTCATCTCGCCCGTTTTCTTAACTGCGGACACAGCACTGATGCTAACAACACGCGCGACTGAAAGCCCTCAGCCAAAGTCTCCTGGCAGAGGCGGATTGATACCCTGCCTCCTCAAGCTCGGACCACCGCACCAGAAACTAACACTTCTTTTATGCCACATTTCTGCATCGCCCTTCGGCCTTTTAGGACCACACTTCCGCTGCCCACCGGACGACCCTCGTTCTATGCGAATGCACGGTTTCGTGAACCCTCGATGGTTGCATTATTGCATTTCCTAAGGGTTACATTTCGAATTTTATCGCAGTCTTAAGTCAGTTTGGAGGGGGCATAGGCTGCTGATTCAAGTGGACCAAAACATGGAGCAGTACACCATGCCGCTGCGGTCGGGATACTGCCGGACGGCTATCTTCGCCGCGGCTTTGATTTTTATTATATTTGTGAAGCAAATTGATTCTAAGGTAAGTTTTTTCCTTAAAACTAAGTTTGCAAATGAAACTATGCTCAACTAATATAGAGAATAAATAACGTTCAAATTGAATTTACCATGATAGTAAAGATTTCCAACAAAAATTGTTAGATTTTCAGCTGACACAACTATTAGACACTTTGTTTTTGCATACGTTAAGAACGCGAGTCTAGCGACTATTATTGGCTAGGGTTCATGCTGTAACCCATCGTTCAATTTTTTGCAATATTTGAATTTCCCGCTCGCAACATAAGTTACAAAATATATTTTATGTTTTTTATTAAATACAACATAATAACAACTTATTTAATTAACAAAATTGGAATTTTTTCTTTTATATAGAAAGTAATAAATAATTTTAAATTCTTTATGAAATAATTATTAAATTAATTAATTTATTTGTAATAAATGTCTTAATAATTATTATATGTATTTTATCTAGTATGTTGTATGTTGAAAAATTCAAGACATTAATGGTTAAAATTATTAATGAAAATTGATAATTTTTGTTTAAATTTAATAATAATTAAAGATCAGCCTTCTGGTTTGAACAAAACAAAATTTCGTTACCGGCTGTTTACTGTCCGGAATCGAAGTTAATACGATCTCGCGAATGGTAAATTGAAGCATCGACTTCTGAAGAGTGGAAAAAGCAAATAAACATTGATTTAAAAATATACACAACACTATATTTATAGTTTGCCCAGATGCAACACGGGTAACTTTAGTTCATGCATCTCTTCGAAACGCGTGGGAGTTAAAAAAAAATCACGTGCCAGCATCTTTACCGTGTGTAATATGGTCCATATTATTAATTTTCCTCGAATATTGGCATCAATATCGATTCCAATACGAAAAGAAAAAGCCCCAAAATCTCAAACGAGGAACGAAAGATGCGGCACGCAACGGAATTTTAACTCGCCTCGGATCGTAATTAATCCCATTGTGGAGCATTTTAATAATTAAAATGCTCCACTCCAGCCCTCACGTGTCATGTGAGCAAGATCCTGGTGGCCTGTAATTAAGTAATTAAATACCGAAATAAGATTTCTAAAAATAGGGCCCTATCTTAACTTGAACGCCTTTTGTGTCCGGAATGCCGCACATTTACATCCAACATCTATTTTTTTTTTAAATATATATTTTTACAATTTTCTTCAATACTTCTTTGATTTCGCAAAATCAGGTGCATTCCCGTTTTGTACGGAGTCGAAGGCAAACAAAAAAAAAGTTGTAGTAAGATGTAAGACGATATTCTCCAAAGTGAAACCTAATCTGTTACATATATTCTAACTAGGAGGAAAGAAGCATTAGGCTAAACTCTATTGATTTATCATCGGGTTGTAAATAATCGTCTTCTGACAACAGCCTAATCTTAATTTGAGTTGGCGTTGAAACATCTATTAATTTTATGTTCATCTAGCTTAAATCTAACATCTATTCTGGAATATTCCATTCGCCTGCCTTATTATCTAATGACTTATCACAGTCAAATTAAATAAACAATTCAACTCGGCATTTTGTTTAAGTAAATTATGACTTTTGTATGTGTATTTATTTTGTGCCGTAACAAAATTATTGCAAAAAATAAGTAGTAAATACTTATTTCCATTGTTTGTTAATTAATTCGAAATTTTGGACAAAATTATGTAAATTTGTAAAATTCTACACAAATTAATGATAAATTACATCGTTCACTTAAGCCAGTGGTCGGCAAAGTGCGGCTCCAGAGCCGCATGTGACTCTTTGGCTCCTTAAGTGCGGCTCTGGCACAATTATTTATTAAGTATGAAATTTAATTTTATTTAGTGTAATAAAAGTTTACTAAACAAGCAGATTTTTTTTAAATTGTTGTAATGTTCATATTTGGCTCTTTGGCTAATAAATTTGCCGACCACTGACTTAAGCTATTTGCTTAAGAAATTCTGTTATATTAAAGATATTTAAAATATGAACAGTTTGAATCACATTTAAAGATGATCTTAGCGCTAGGTAACAACGAAACACCAGCAATCTTAAAATGTTGGCCTTTTGGCCACAGAGGTTATAAAAGATTATTCACTCGATCTCTCGTGCATCTCATCCATCCACTCATCGCCGTACATTATTTGCTTTACGAATGGAACGTGTTTCATTTTACCTTAGGTCAGTTTATTTTCCTTACCGTGAATAGCGCGCACCGAATGCAAACTTGAGCATCGCACAGAGATTATTACACCTACCCAACCCGACGATCGCTTCGCTCATAATTATTTTCGATCCTAATTAAAAAAGGAAAAAAAAAACAACAACTAGAATTCCGTAATGTAGGAGTGCATCTACCATGTGTATTATTTTAATAAATCATCCGTGCCCGCGCTTGCATCAACTTTGTCTACTCATCATTCCTATTACAAAGAGCGGCCCCCGGTCAAAAGAAAAGAAAAAACAAACAATAAAAATCATTGTGCAAATAGTCGTGGTTTATTTTTTTTAAAATCACATTTCGATACTTGCAAGTAATTTTTGATACAAAATATGAATTAATTAATTGGTTGTAAAAGCGACCGTTAAATATAATCAACAAGACATAAAAAAAAATCCTGTTTCGGATAATTGCATACAAAAATGTAGTCCAAAAAGAAAACATCAATCTTGTAATTAAGTTAAAAATCAAACGCTGATATAATAAAATCATTTTATTTTATTTCGGCTTCAATTAGTTCATTTTGAAAATTTGAGCAAAAAAAATGTTATTGTATACCTATACTAAGTTAATATTTAGATTATGCTACATTTTTTTCAGAGTAAATTAAAAAAAAAATGATCTAAACATTCGGAATCTTTCCTCACTATTTTCTGTGTTTATATGGTCACTATTTCCGTGTTGATAATCCGTGACATCAGTTGCTCAACTGTGACATTATGTACGACATACAAAAAAAAAATAACAATTTAGCAATTTGAAGCAAATTCTTAACGAGCCGTCAATAGCTCAAATCAAAAGATTAATATAAATAAACAACAAAACGAAATTATTTACAAACTCTTGTTTTTCTCCCAATTACAACATGATTTATCATATTTTTTTTTGTAGATAAAAAAGAAATAATAATTGTAAATTTTTATAAGAGAATTCATCATTTTAAAATTTTGCTATTTTTGTTGTTGTTTCTAAACGAACGGTACGAAGATCGTAAACTAACAACTAGTTGTTTTCAGTTTAATTGTTTTCTGTGCACAGTCGTAAATTTTCATGCGCTGCGAGGAACTGTACATACGTGTATAATTAATAAATTCATATTGAAACATCATTTTAAATCAACTATAGCTAACATATAAATCCGTTCAGTTTGATGGATGGAATTTAATATTATATAATTGATGTAATTGGATTATAACATTAATTGATTAAAGTTGATAATAATTCTGTCAAGATCGAGAGTGATTAAATTGTTACAAAAAAAAAAGATGCAAGTAAATAAATTAAAGCACGACCTTTATTTGCAATGCGTGTGCAGCGGTAATACGAAATTATTTAATAGCGGATTATGTAATAATAATAATAATATCGGTGTGCGAGAGTAAATGTGATTCAGACTATGAACTCTGCGGAGCCGGAATGTGGCCGGCAGACAAGACGGGTTTATAAATTAACTTGCCTGTCTTCAAACTTATTGCTGCATTTTACGGGCAGCTTTTTCGATTATATTGCACCACAGCGGTGTTCTGTGTGTGTATACTGTGCATACCGTATGTATGCTATATGCATATAGTGCACACTGCATCCAGCCTGGTGGTAACCGCGATTTCTTGCATTTAATTGCATAATACGTAGACCGCTTTCCTCCGCTTAATGGTCCATCATTAACCTTCATTATTCTCAGTTAATCAGAACGCGCCGCCTCCGATAAATATTCATCATTTGCCCAATAAAATGATGGATCGATGCCACCGTCGTCGTTCGCAATTTGCATATTCATCAACAAGAAAAAANTAGTAAAGTTTTCTGCCCCCCCCCCCCGTTTCGCAATAGGTCCTTTATCTAATCAACTGGCCGCAATAAGCGTACGTCCAGATTACAAGGCAGCAATAAGGATGAAGCGGTTCTGCGAAAGTAAACATAACGAAGAGAAAAAAAAATGTAATGGTACACACACATGTGCTAAAGTCATGCACATTGAATCAATAACAATAAAGAGAACCGAAAATAGATTCGAAAAATTATGTCACCGCTTTTTGTGTCCGTTCTAAATCCTGCGAAGAAATGGCGCGCTCTCGCCCCCATTAAAAAGCGCCTTCCTTGTTTTGTTGTTGCTACTGCTGCAGCAGCTCGAAATCTAAACGCATTTATATTTATCCAAACCAAAACATTAATGCCACACATCGATTTTTTAATGAACTTCTTCATTTTTCTTTTTATGCGTGGTTGTGGTTTCAAATCGCGCGAATGTCGATGATGATTACATCACTGTTTCAGGAATAATTGAAGCACCGAAGATTGCCTAATCAGTTGATACCAAAAATAATTCAATCATCGTTATTTATACGTTATAATTGTGCGAACGCGAATGAACGAGAGAGAGAGTCAGAAAATAAATAAGTGCGTGACCATTCCGGGTCAAATACATATACATACATTTATATAAAAAAAAAATATACAAACACATCAACAAATCGGTAGAAGAAGGAAAAAAAAACAACATCTCTGATAACAACAATCTTTTTTATTTTTTTTAATTTCGTTTCGATATTAAATTGCCTAATCGAAATATTTTTGCTGCGTCTATAAACAAATTATATAACTCCAATTACGATAAAACGCAAACTTTTCCTTTCGATTTTATATATTTTTTTTCTATAGTAGGCTTTGAATGCGTTTTTTTCTTCTTTCTTTTTTTTTGTACAACTCAATTTGTTTGATCGCGGAACCGTTTAAGGCGGCTGCGGCAGCGGAGAGGAGCCACTTGTTGCGTAACTTTCTATCGGGCGAAAGAAAGGAAGAGAGGATTC